TGCCTCATGACAACCTTACGATGCGAGCGAGCTCCCACCTAGCACGTAAGTGTCAACGGATGTGTGTCAGATTTCAGCCAAGCATGCCTGTGTGACCAGCTGAGTCGCGGTTGCGGGCCATGGGAATCCCCATCAGTCGCGCAATGGAGGCAGTCTCGCTTCAATGTCCAATGATGCAGGTTATATTGTGCAGCATCCTGCTTAATTGTATACAGCTGTTTGTAAATGTTATCTCATGTATGTAATGACTGATGATCCAGGTGTCATTGACTTTGTCTCTTTGACTTGTCCTTTTGAGTTTCTGGATTTTGGCTTTTTTCCTTTGGATTTTTTCGTAGTTTGACTTTATGTCCTGTTGACTTTTCGTCTTTTGACCTTTGTCCTCTTCACTTTTTGTCCTTTTGAGTTTTTTTTTGTCCCTTTGATTTTTTGTCCTTTTGACTTTTTGGACTTTGACTATATGTCTTTTTGACTTTTTGACCTTTTGACTTTTTATTTTGATTTCATGCCCGGTTGACTTGTTGTTTTTTGACTTTTTGTCCTTTTGACTTTCTGTCCTTTTGTGTTTTTTTATTTTGACTTTATGTCCTGTTCACTTTTTGTCTTTCGACTTTTGTCCTTGTTACTTTTTGGCAATTTGACTTTTTGCCGTTTTTACTTTTTGTGTTTTGACCTAATGTCCATTTGACTTTTTGTCTTTTGACTTCTATGCTAGTTGACTTTTTGTTCATTGACTTTTTGGCAATTTCACTTTTTATCTTTTGACGTTTTATCCTTTTTGACTTTTTGCCTTTTGACTTTCCTCTTTGTTGACCTTTTACCTGTTGACTTTTAAGATTTTTGACTTCTTGCTTTTGACGTAATGTCTGTTGACTAATCATCCTTTTGCCTTTTACCATTTGACTTTTCGTCCGGAACCCTGTTCAGACACCCCCCCCCCCGGCCCGGCGCGGAATCTCAGAGCACCGGCCCGGCGCGGGTTAAAGCTAGAAGGCTGATTTTTCGTATAGCTGCTCCTCTATCCTTTCTTGATGTCCACTGAAAATTTCAAGTTTCTGTGATTTTTGGTTTCGGAGATATGACCTTGTTTTTCAGGTCATGTCATGACCCAAATGGCCAATTCTCAACATCTTGCGCTTGCCATGGGCCTTGCAAGCTTTTGACACCCTGATTTCGGCCTTCTTTGCCAGTCTTACCTCCCACCTATCATGGAACATGTTGTTCGTTCGACGTACAGGGGTCAAGGTCAGGGTCAAGGTCAACCTAGGTCATCTAAGATAATTGCGTTTTAGGCAAGCTGAATTTACTTTTTGTGAAGTTTTTTGACTGCATTTTTGGTAAAAGCTTCTCAGATCATGATTTCATGTAATATGGACCGAAAAACAATCGGTGCACACATCAGTATACACACAGACACACACAGACATACAAACACATATAATTGACCTTGACCTAACTTGACCTGAAATGACCTCAGCAGCAAAATTCTGGTCGGGTAGTGTGACAAAGAGGTTCTAGCTGGCTTGGCACCAGAAAACAGCATCGTCATCGGTATTTGATAAGCAGCGCACTTGATATCCAACGGTGACCCAAAACAGCAATATTTTTTAGTTTGACCTGACCTGGAAGGTCAATGACTGACCTGAGAAGGTAAAACTGGGTATCATTGGATTCGTCTCTTCCCAAAGAATCTTTTTGGTCTTTACTGCTAAGCTCTATCTCCAACAGAAACGAAATGGCGCGGGGGGGGGGGTGGCAACCCCCCCCCCATGTGCGTTCTAGGATGGGAAAATGGCATGTGCGGGCGAGGGTTAAGTCGCTTGACCTCAAGGTCACGTGATTTCAAGGTCATCATGTAAATCATTCGATGCGCCTTGACGGGCTGAACACAATGAGACCATTTGCGCGGCTGTATCTTTTCCCGTTAGGATTTATTAGCAAAAAAAAAAAAACGTTTGGTTATCTTTGATGACGTCACAAGCCCTTACAGCTGTCCAATAGGAAAAAAGGCTCAAGGTAGTCAACGTTGGTCATGAATTATGTCATTTATGGTACCTATAATTGACCATGACAACTTGGCCGTCCCAGCAAAGCGACCCTGAGCGCACCGGCCAAGTTGCCCCGCTAGTCCCGGCCAAATAACCCCACATTGTTATTCTGAAATTTTTGTCTATAAAGTTGTCATGGCTGTACGGAACTAAATGAAATTGCTCTTGGAACCGCTGAACACCCCCAGAATGGCGCTATAATGTCGGAATTCGTATACAGTCCAAATACTACACGTTATACTACTTTTTAATCGGAAGTAAAAGTTGCCATTTCTAATGAAATTCACGTTTTACTTATTTTGAAGAAAACTATAAGGGGGGAGTTTTGACATTTGTCCTCGAGTTAGTTATACCCATGACAAATGAATAGAGACCAGTATAACGCCTTTTAGGGCGACTAACGGAGCGAGCGAGAGGGTGAGCCTTGCACGTGCGAAATTTCGACGAGGTACCTCCAGCTGACTTGTGCACGGCACCCTACTAACCGGTCCCTAACCATGTGCCAAATTTGAGCGCCATCGGTCCAGCCGTTCTCGAGATCTGGAATCGACCCCTGCACGTGCGCACGTGCAGCAGCACCCCAATTCTGGCACATAAATATGCATTGCCTAGTGGGTGCCTACCTTCATGCCAACTTTCAGCGCAATCGGCCAAGTAGTTACCGAGATATTGCAACAATTACAAAAGTGACACCTCTTCGTTTTGCACGTGGCACGTGCATAAGAGGTCACCCACATGCATCGGCAATAGTCCAATACTTGGTAGAAGGAATGAAGCCACCCTACAAAAATTACCGCGTGTAAATCGGTCAAGTGGTTGCTGAGATATAAGCGTCGCAGAATCGTGACCACGGCCGGCCGGCCGGCCGGCCGCTCATACTCAGAAATTTCCGTTAATCTAAGGAAAGACTACGCTCGCTTCGCTCGCTCCGTAACTAGAGTTATTTCATTCACTTTTATCAGATACTGTACAGGTGGGGGCGGCCAATTTACACCACCGGCCAAATTACCCCAACCTCCCCTGCCCAAAATGTGTTCCAACTACTATCATTCTGATGAAGTTCGTTCATGAGATTCCACCCGTAAGGCCCATGCACCCCGTCCATTCCATAAAATGGAGTGCACGAAACCACCCAACTACACGATTTCACCTAAAGCCTGAAAGACTTTCCGCAGTCAGGATATCGCATGCGAGAGCCAGGAGCCTATTCGGTATTCAAATACATTGGAGCACGCTTGCATCAATCGCACGCACCTCCCGCATGCGATTGATGCGGGCAGAATTATAATGCATTTGAATAGGCTTTCGCTTGCGATTTCCGCGGAAAGTCTGGTTCAGCCTCTAGGGTTCCATGTAAACAGCCAGAATCAACGACTGTGGTTCACTGGCGGCGCAATTCACGCATGTCGCAGAGGCAGCGGACTGTTCTAGTCTTTGTTTTTATGGTTTTCACCATACCTACACACTACAAGCACACACCATTGGCAGCAAGATTCCTTTACTACTCAGGTTGGTTCACTAGGGAAATAAACCCAGCAAACATGCCCACATGGTTCCCATATGGGGCCCACATGGGCCCCCCACCTCTTCCATATGGGTCCCACATGGGAATGGCAGTGGGTGACACGTGGGACCCATATGGGTCAGCCCACGTAGGCCCCATATGGGACCCACGCGGCGCCAACATGGGACCCATATGGGTAGCCCATCTGTAGCCCATGTCCCACGTGGGCCCATCTGGCCCATGTTCACCCCATATGGGACCCACATGGGATGCCCATCTCCAGCCCATGCATGCGCTTGGCCCATCTGGCCCATTTTTATCCCATATGGGGCCCATATGGGTAGCCCATCTGTAGCCCATGTCCCACGTGGGCCCATCTGGCCCATGTTCACCCCATATGGGACCCATGTGGGCATGTTTGCTGGGAAGGCGCCGTGGTGACGTCATCAGAGGAAATCCTTCACATTCAAATGAAGGGGTGATTTGAATTGCTGATTTTGGCTCGATATAGGCCTACTTTTTTAGTTTCAGTCCCATTTATCGTAATGAGGCCAATTCATTGTTACATTGGTACATCTTTTGATGACAAAGAAGCCTTGATTTTTTCTCCAGCTCGCCCGAAAGATGATGAAATTTGCATGCATGCCTATGGGTGAAGGGAGATTCTGCCGCCGTGGTGACGTCACGGTAAAGGGATTCTGGAGCTCGTGAACGGGGGCTGATTGGCAGTAGCAGTGCCAGCGCTTATGCTGCTCGCTGGTAAGTGTAAGTTCCCGCGTCAATGGAAGGAAGATTGATCATGACACGGACATGTTCTTAGGTCTTTTAGTACCGTAAGTTTGCCTCACGACATTGACCATTTTGAGCTAGTGCGTGCTCTAATTTCCCCTCAATTCAGGCAATTTTTTCTGGACATGAAAACTGCTAGTACACATTGCTTATAACTGAAAAAGTGAATAACCATCATCAATATGCAATTACGAACCCGACGCTTCCTTACATTAGAATTATTCCAGACTAAATCCATTAAGCCAAGTGACGTCTAGACAGATCAGGCCTTTCACCTGAAATATTAATATGTAGTTAACACCTAGCGATTTTCTGACGATGAAAACATGCGATAAGAGACTAATCGATTGAGGAGCAACCGGAGCGGTAAGGCCGGTCGGAGAGCTGTCGGCTCCCGACGGGACCGGCCGCCAGCCGGCAGGGGCTCCCCCAGCCGTCGTCGCCCGCGCCGTGACACACACTATCGCCGTCCATCGAGCGCCGGCTCGCATTAAGGCATTAGGCCGAGCCCGGCCGCGAGACCCCTGTTCACGGGCCGCGACAGCCCAGCCGATCAGCTGTCCCGGCGCCGGCCATCGCCGACTTTCTGTCGTCGCCCTAATCTTGTTTGCAGACAATGGCCCTCAAATAAGCCGATAGTGATCGGTGGCCAACCCGGTGCTGCGGAGCGGCCGGCGCCCGCGCCCGTCCGCTCCCAGGGCACCGCCGCCGACCGTCCAGTGAGCCAGGGGCGCGTCCAGCACCCCTCTCAGGGGGAGTTTTGGTCCTAGGTGCGACTGACACCTTACGGGCATGGCTGTCCTTTTTTTATCAGCAACATGACGCTACCTACATTTGAGTAGATGTTCTGGTAGGTCGTTACGGTGATCAGTCCTGGTGACGCCTCTGCGGGGGAGGCGGGGTGATTTTTTAACGCGGAGGGAGAGCAGAGATCGTGCTATTCATTCTGCCCAGACAGCCACCGCCGGCAAGACCCCAAGTGAACCTGGTGCTCTCCTAAACATAGGTATGTGTGCTACTGTTCGTCTAATAATGTGATAAATGAAGAACATACAATGTGTTTTAAATGCATGATTTTTTATGCGTAATCGCAGAAAATGCATATTCTGTTGAAAAATTAAACTAAAAGTTAATCGGTATTTAAGCATACGTTTTGCTCTGTGAAAATGGTTGGCCATTGAAAATGAAAGTAGGGGAGACCCGGGAGGTGTGGGCCGGTTTTGTGAAATGGGAATTTTCTTTCAGTGGGCAGTGGCTAGACCTGGTTTTTCACTCTGTGTACGTGACATTGCCTTTTGCCTGTAAAGGGTGCCTGATATTAGGCACCTGCGATCAACTATTTTGTCTCGAGATAACTTTTAATAAATCATGCGCTTTTTCGATCCATCAAAATACACCGGGAGGTATGGGCCGGTGCCATGTTTCATATTCTTTTCTCGACATTGAGAACAATAATCGTAGCTGGGATCTACCTTGAGCTCTCTTAGAGCCCAGGTACCGCATAAGCGACCAACAGCTTGCTTCATGGAGGCCACCTGGGCACATGTTTATTATGGTTCACTCAATCACATTCCATGAAATAAGACAAACAATACTTTGGGGGACCATCAAAGCGTCCAAAACCGCAGCATCCAGAGTACGCAACATCCAAAACCGCAGCGTCCAAAGTACGCAACGTCCAAAATACGTCCAAAATCGGGTATATAGGGAGCATTCACAACGTCCAAAACTGAAACATCCAAAACCGCAACATCCAAAACGTATCATCCAAAAACGCAACATCCAAGGACGCATCATCCAAAGTACGCAACATCCAAAGTACGCAGCATCCAAAGTACGCAGCATCCAAAGTACGCAACATCCAAAGTACGCAACATCCAAAACCGTTAGGTTAGGTTAGGTTAGGCTAGGTTAGGTTAGGTTAGGTTTCCTTATGCCCGGTAGGCATAAATCAGTAGGTTAGGTTAGGTTAGGTTACGTTACGTTAGGTTAGGTTACGTTAGGTTAGGTTAGGTTAGGTTAGGTTAGGTTAGGTTGGGTTTCCTTATCCCCGGTAGGCAAAAATCAGTAGGTTAGGTTAGGTTAGGTTAGGTTGGGTTAGGGATAGGCAAAAATCAGTAGGTTAGGTTAGGTTCGGTTAGGTTAGGTTAGGTTAGGTTAGGTTGGTTTTGGATGTTGCGTGCCTTGGATGTCGTGGTCCTGGACGTTGTGGTTTTGGAGGTTACGTACTTTGGATGTTGCGTCTTTGGATGTTGCGTTTTTTGGATGATACGTTTTTGGACGGTGCGGTTTTGGATGTTTCGGTTTTGGACTTTGTGAATGCCCCCTATAAACCCGATTTTGGACGTTTTTTTGGACGTTGCGTACTTTGGACGCTGCGGTTTTGGATGTTGCGTACTTTGGATGCTGCGGTTTTGGACGCTTTGATACGGACCCAATACTTTTCTGTTCAAATGCAATTTGTAGCTAAATTTTCCGGTAAATATTTACATAAAGTCCGATCCATATTTCAAGCATAAATTTTGCATATTCTTACGTTATTTGACATCCTGAATGTAGATATGATGCTTACATGCGGCGGAAAACAGTGCTACCATATTAAAAGTTGGGGAAAACTGTTGGGAACCGGGGTTTTTGGGTGGGGGAGGGGGAATCGGGGTTTATGGGTATGGAGAGAAACCCCGGTTCCCAACAGTTTTCCCCAACTTTCATGACCATTCTTACGGCATTGTATTCCCTCCCCGACCCAAAAACCCCGGTTCCCAACATTTCCCCAAATACGGTAGCAAATATTTTTAATATGGTAGAACTGTTTTACGTCGCATGTAAGCATCTTATCTACATTCAGGATGTCAAATAACGTAAGAATATGCAAAATTTATGCTTGAAAAGTGGATCGGAGAGATAAAATTTACTTACCTCTAATCTAGTTCACCGTGGTTTCGAAAAATACGCTGGACGCGTTCCTCGTTGCGGTACGCAACTGAAACTAGTTCGTATTCCTCCCACTTGCACCCGGAGCACAACGAACCACCCGGCACGGAAGCCATGATCCAACTAACAGACTGGCGGGAAAGCGGAAAGCACTGGAAAGCACCTGCTAAAACTGGTTCAAACCAGTTTGCTCAAACGGAAACGGAAGTTTCTGCTCTAGATTGCAGCTACGAATGGAAAGAAGTTTACGTAAGGTCATAGCTATTAGGCATATTTGATAAAAAAGATATCATAATTATATTATTTGAACATAAAAAATATAAAAAAATCATCAAAAAGCAATTTAAATGTAAAAAGCATTACTTCTTCTCTATTTAAATTGTTTGATGAAAGTGACGTCAAAATAACAAAACACGAAAAAAATGTTTAAAAAATTGGAGTTTTGTTGGGTAGGATAGGAAAAAAACACGACAAAAATTGTCAGAACCTAATCTAACCTGACCTAACCTGACCTACTGATTTTTGCCTACCCGGGGATAAGGAAACAGTTGCTCGCATGAATAGATTGCAAGCAATGGTAAGTCAAATATTTTTAGGTTAAGTGGTTGTGCATCAGGCCTCAGGCCTTCGGCCTGAGGCCAGATACACAACCACTTACCCTAAAAATATTTGACTTACCATTGCCTGTAATCTCTCCTAAGGCATTGCCTTCGGCACTGCACCGCTTCGCCACGATCATTTTCATGACGTCACTTTCATAATGAGATTGAATAGCGTAATGTTTTCACTCAACCTTGGAGTTTATTCATTCGATCCATCTCACGTGGCGCAAACGGCTGGTGGAGTGCGTGGAGGGCGGGTGTCGTGGGATGGTGGCCGGCGGCGACGGTAAATATTGCGCAGTTGATTTAAAACTTGGTTGCGCCATGAATAACTATCAGATATGGAATCAGGAGCTCAAAATACATCGAGTGGTGTGGTTTTTTAATCACCCTGTTGATCGGACCTTATGTATATAAATACCAATTTTCCACCATGCGCGACAAAAACAAAACTTATTGAAGAGGACATTCAAAGAAAGCATCATTGTATTGATTTAGGATCACTGGAGGTGGGTGGCCCGAACCTCCCGGTTAGGACGCCAGAATGCGCGTAGCATCTCAGCTCATAATCTTGAAAGAAAGCTTCAAATTAAGAAATGGTATGCAGTGCTCTAGCGAGGAACATCTTGATATATGTAGTTAGGATTTTAAATGACCTTTTCCTCGATAATTAATAAGAAATTCAATAAAAAGTAAATATTTTATTGTTTGGCAAATTTTCGAACAACAGTTCATTCTCAAGCCACATGAAACAATTGACAACGAAGTTTTATAACTGCCGCCAAGCTACATTTTTTGAATTATCACACGTGATGTACAAGGTGGTCTTCTTAAAATCAGAAATCTGAAGTTAATCGATCATATCCCAAGCTGCTCCGAATCCACCTATTCACATATACATACATACATGGCCATCAAAAGTAATATGCGAGCACAATCACATAAATATATACATGGTTCGTTTTGGTCGTGGTCGTGATGAATAGATCGCGTAGCATTAAAAAAAGGTGACAACAATGACAATATAAACACTTTGGAAGTCTCGTAGCAGATTATGTCGTATAAAGTTCGGTTCGGTTTAAACAATCATACAAATGCATACAACTACTCGTAATATGCGAGCACTCTCAATTCCCATACATGAATATGGTTCGTCTTGGTCGTAGTCGTGCTAAATAGCTGATCGTGTCGCATTAAAAAAAAAGAAGACAACAACAATAACAATACAAACACTTCGAAAGTCTCGTAATAGATCGTGTCGTAAAAGGTAGGGTTTACACAATCATACATATGTATACATCTTCGAATCAAGCGCAGTACCTAACAATTATCCACACATAACAAATTTCAATGACAGCCAGTGGATAATGAAAACAAACAACTATCATTCTATAGTATGGGCCATGAAGACATGTTGGAGTTGAGTTTTGGGCGCTTCTTTTGGATCAGGAGGGATTCCGCGATTTTCCTATCTGGGTGGTCTTTCGACTTATACAAAACGCGTACTTTGAGGGGAATGCCTCCTTCGTGGGTGGAGTGGCACTCTTGAAAATGATCTCCCATGGGGGTGTCATGTGTTTTGTTGAGCGCGTCCCTCAGGTGTTCATTGAATCGTAAGCGCACCGGGCGCTTCGTCTCTCCCACGTATGTTACGGTCATCCCATTGCTTTGACAGACAGTACATGTAATCTCATAGACTAAGTTTTTCTGCGTGCAGTCCCCAGAGAACCCCGATCTGCATGTGTGACATCTTTGACCTCCTGGGCATAAGGGCTTACATAGTGCTGACCTCACTAGTTTATCTTTTAGTTTTTGTGAATTTGTCCATGCTAACTTTACATTGAGGCCTGATTGTCTCACTTTGCTCTTAACTTCGCACAACAGTCTTTCATCTACGTAAGGAAGTGTGAGGAATCCATCACAAGGTTCTTGGGTCTTGTTCCTTCTAGTTCTTGAGTGAGTCTTATTCCCCCTAGCCTCTCTGAGCAACCTGTGCAGGACGTGGTTTGGGTAGCCATTCTTTAAGAATGGCTACCTTAACGGGCTATCAGGAATTCATCAAGCAGCATGAAGGAGAGGAAAAGTGTAGAAAAGATAAGGCAGTTACTCTTAAAGAATGGCTACCCAAACCACGTCCTGCACAGGTTGCTCAGAGAGGCTAGGGGGAATAAGACTCACTCAAGAACTAGAAGGAACAAGACCCAAGAACCTTGTGATGGATTCCTCACACTTCCTTACGTAGATGAAAGACTGTTGTGCGAAGTTAAGAGCAAAGTGAGACAATCAGGCCTCAATGTAAAGTTAGCATGGACAAATTCACAAAAACTAAAAGATAAACTAGTGAGGTCAGCACTATGTAAGCCCTTATGCCCAGGAGGTCAAAGATGTCACACATGCAGATCGGGGTTCTCTGGGGACTGCACGCAGAAAAACTTAGTCTATGAGATTACATGTACTGTCTGTCAAAGCAATGGGATGACCGTAACATACGTGGGAGAGACGAAGCGCCCGGTGCGCTTACGATTCAATGAACACCTGAGGGACGCGCTCAACAAAACACATGACACCCCCATGGGAGATCATTTTCAAGAGTGCCACTCCACCCACGAAGGAGGCATTCCCCTCAAAGTACGCGTTTTGTATAAGTCGAAAGACCACCCAGATAGGAAAATCGCGGAATCCCTCCTGATCCAAAAGAAGCGCCCAAAACTCAACTCCAACATGTCTTCATGGCCCATACTATAGAATGATAGTTGTTTGTTTTCATTATCCACTGGCTGTCATTGAAATTTGTTATGTGTGGATAATTGTTAGGTACTGCGCTTGATTCGAAGATGTATACATATGTATGATTGTGTAAACCCTACCTTTTACGACACGATCTATTACGAGACTTTCGAAGTGTTTGTATTGTTATTGTTGTTGTCTTCTTTTTTTTTTTAATGCGACACGATCAGCTATTTAGCACGACTACGACCAAGACGAACCATATTCATGTATGGGAATTGAGAGTGCTCGCATATTACGAGTAGTTGTATGCATTTGTATGATTGTTTAAACCGAACCGAACTTTATACGACATAATCTGCTACGAGACTTCCAAAGTGTTTATATTGTCATTGTTGTCACCTTTTTTTTAATGCTACGCGATCTATTCATCACGACCACGACCAAAACGAACCATGTATATATTTATGTGATTGTGCTCGCATATTACTTTTGATGGCCATGTATGTATGTATATGTGAATAGGTGGATTCGGAGCAGCTTGGGATATGATCGATTAACTTCAGATTTCTGATTTTAAGAAGACCACCTTGTACATCACGTGTGATAATTCAAAAAATGTAGCTTGGCGGCAGTTATAAAACTTCGTTGTCAATTGTTTCATGTGGCTTGAGAATGAACTGTTGTTCGAAAATTTGCCAAACAATAAAATATTTACTTTTTATTGAATTTCTTATTAATTATCGAGGAAAAGGTCATTTAAAATCCTAACTACATAAAGCTTCAAATTGTCAATCCAGTCTTAATTTGCATGCCTTAAACTTTACGTTAGCAATGGTCTGACATACTAAAACGAGCCTGGTTCACATTGATCACGAATTTACTTTATGTACCGTATTTTACTCGAAGAGGGCAATAACGCTTTATCACCGCTCGTTGCCAAAGAAGACAGAGGAATATTTTGGAAATCACGTGGGCTGCATAACGAAATGGCTCTTACTAGCTTGTGTGGTCGTCAAAGGTGTAAAAATACGCAACGCTTCTTCAAAACTGCGATGGCCCATGCCTCCCGGGGGCCATACCTCCCGGGTCTCCCCTAGGCATATTTCCTTAGCCCTCGCCGACACTTTAAGGTCCTAGGTCATCGGGTGACCTTCCAGGTCAGGTCAATGACCCAAAAATCGGGAATATCGGGACCTGTTAGAAAGTCGCAGTGCGGCTGCTAAGGGGTTTTCCGGGGTGCTGATCACGAATATCGTGTTAGTTTGATCACAAATGATGTTAAACGTTTAGACCAGGTAGGGTCAGGTCAGGTCAGCTCAACCGGTAGGGGTCGTGACGGGTATTCGTAGTACCTGTCATCCGCCTCTGACAGCTTCGTAACATGTTACGAAGGCACCAAAACTACTTCGTGAATGTTCAAATGGTTGCTAAATTCGAATTCAGCTCCAAATAGAAACATGGAAAACTCGAAACAGTGAACCGAGGTCACCAAAGGTCAATGACCTGACCTGACCTTCAGGTGACCTTGACACCCACCATAAGGCATGGGAGCAACATCAAATCACATGTTTGAACGTTTGAAACCACGAAAAGCTTGCAAACGCGCGGCTAATGCGAGCCGACTTACGTCGAATAGCGATTCCGGCCAAACATGGTCTCGGAAAAGAGGTCACAGGTCAAAGGTCATTTGGGTCAGGGTCATTAAATTTTCGAAGTAGATGTAAAATAGTTAGATCAATGCAAAGGTACTGAAAGTTTCGTTGCGATCGGCCGCTTTTTACGCGAGTTATTCACGAAAAATCTTAGGGGGGGGGCTGCATCAACCCCCTGTGCCGGCGAGGGTTAAAATATGTTTTCAAATGTGGTGCCTGGTGGGATCCACTCAGATCATAGATCCATCTTCTTAATTTATCGTCAGATCATATGAGATCATAGATCCAAGATGTATTTTTCACGCCGGATCCGGTGAGATCATAGATCCCAACCTGTACTTTGCTTCGAGATCCACTGAGATCATAGATCCATCACTCGGATCCATGCACATGTCTGCTTATCCTGCTATGCGGTGTCTTTTTCAGGTATTCATGATGTCTAGTGCTGCTGAGCCGACTGTGACCGATTCGACTCAAGTATGCAAAGATCTGCCAGACTACGTGCAAACGATGGAAGTCACAGGTACGTTGTGATCGCTAAATCGGTGTAATTACTCATTTGTGACAAATGACAATTGCAAGAACACTGCTGACCGAAAACAGGCCATCATCAAATGTGTAAAACTCAACAAAATGTGTCTCTGGATAGTCTTAGGTACAGCAAGACTTGTGAAACGTTGCTCGCAAGATAACGCTCACCATGTCTCAACAAGGAATATGTATATTTCTGTAACTCGTGTGCCAACTGCTACATAGTTACAATACTACATACAGTTTTTTAAGTTTTTTTTTAATTCTTCCCTCACTGCAATTGTCTCTTTAAACACAGCACGTCATTTGTTAGATGAAATACTTGGAGAACTGGCCAGCGATTCCATGACACTTTTTCGTCTAGCAGATTTTCGTCGGACAATTTTTCGTCCGCAGATTTTCGTCCGACTTTTTTCGTCTCGCATTTTTGTGTTCGTGCATTTTTTCGTCCGTGTATTTTGTCGTCAGTAATTTTTTCGGCCGGACTTTTTTCGGCCGTATATTTTTCATCTGTGCATTTCTGCTTTTTCGTAATATCATCCTGGACATTTCTTTGCCCAAACACGTAAAAAATGGTGAATGGAAACATTAAGTGAGATGGCGAATAGACAAAGAGCAAAATGGTCAGAACATAGTCAAACCTTACGGCTTACCTAACATTGCCTTCTGTTTTGCCTCATTTCTACCTAAAAAAATTAAATAGGTAAAGACAAAGTTACTTCCATGAACAGATTGCAAGCAATGGTAAGTCAAATATTTTTAGGTTAAGTGGTTACACAACGACTTAACCTAAAAGTATTTGACTTACTATTGCCGGTTATCTCTCCCGAGGTATTGCATTCGGCATTGCATTGCTTCGCCCCGTGAATTATTATGGCGTCACTTTCCTCACAGTTGAGTAGCATCGTAATATGTTTTCACTCAATCTTAGAGTTGAAAAAATGGATGCAAAATTTATTGGATGATAAAAATGTCCTACCGAAAATGTGTACAGACGAAAAAATAAATACACAGACGAAAAAATGTCGGATGAAAAAATACAAAGGCCATAAAATGCGCATGCGAAAATATGCACAGACGAAAAATTGCGAGACGAAATAATGTCAGACGAAAATCTGCAGACGATAAACTGTCCGAAGAAAAAATGTCAGACGAAATTTTATCCGAACACGCTGGCCAGCGCACATTGTTTTCACAGATAATTAATTAATCAAGATTGTTTGTATTTGAATCACATTTCCCCGACTTGCAGTGAGTATTTGCCTATACCTACTTGAAATACCAAAGCGATGCTTGACTTGTGGGGAATTATAAATGAGCTTATCAATAAATCGCACAGCGTTCAACACTAAGTAATGCTACTTGACTGGTGTTCAAAACACATTTGGAAAATTTTATTCATCTCCTCAATGCAATGTGCACTTGGACAATATTATTCTTTATAGTGAGGGTCGAATAAAAAAGGACTAAAACTCGCGTTCGTTCCACGAGGCAAGTACTAACAGCTCATATTGGTTATTTTAACAACCAGCCACTGATAAACTTTGCGGAAGTGTAAGCACGAAACCTCTTCTCATTTCCATTAAAGGGACTATCCCACCTTCTAAAATGTTGTTAAAACCAGTTAAATTGTGCCCGACTTTATAGATTGGATGACCAGGAACACGGTTCTGGCATTTATTTTTCATTAAACATCTTAAGCTTCCCATATTCCAAACACAAACTTTCAAATATGTGACGTCACAGCCCAAAATTACCTCCTTCCCCAGGCCACATTACTGTCATAAAGCTGATTCTTTTTACTCTGTAGGCACCACAACAAAGTTCAGACCAAGTTTTAAGTGATTTTTCAACGAACAAACCCATTTAAATCAGAATGACTAAACGAGGTGACGTCACACTAACGGTCGCTCCATGTTGAAGATAGGGCCTTGTACAAGGCCCATTTTCAAATGAAGGGAACGAATTTCTTCAACACCAAGAGGCCGCGGGGGTTGCAACCTAGATAGATAGTGGTTTCTGAACCTCGCCGCAAACTTGGCTATCTCAACTCAAACCCCATGTTAAAGGTGGGATAGTCCCTTTAACCGTCGCACTTGTGGGGGGGGGGGGTGGAAATAATCCCCTCGGTTTTTTCGCAAATAACTCGCGCAAAAAGCGGCGGACCGCAATGAAACTTTCAGTACCCTTAAGTTTATCAATTCTACACCTACCCAGAAAATTGTATGACTCTGACCTTTGGCCTGTAACCTACCTCTCGAGACCATGTTTGGCCGGAATCGTGATGCGTCGTATGTCGGCTCACGTTATCCGTTTTTTTTTTACATGTTTCTAGACTAGTTTTTGGACCAGATTTGGTATTTGGCAATCATTCGAACATTGACGAAGTAGTTTTGATACCTTCGTAACATGTTACGAGGCTGTTAGTGATGGTTAACAATTATTATGAACGCCCGGCACTCGGCAGGACCCGTACCTACTGGTTAGCCCGACCTGACCTGACCTAGCCTCAATGCATTTAGACATCTGTGATCAAAACTTACTTGAAATTCGTGATAAGCACCCCGAAAAACCTTAACAGCGTCACTTAACGAAGTTCTGACCTCTGACAGGCCCGATTTTCCCGACTTTTGGTCTTTGGATCATTGCCTTGACCTGGAAGGTTAACCGATGACCTCGGACCTTAAAATTGGGCATCATCAGCTCCATCTCGTCACGGCCAACACGCTCCTTTTTCCGCGAAGCTTCAGCTCGATCAGGGGCCGAACGGCAAGGGGAGGGATCCAACGGACCCCCCTCCCCCGATTACCCGTCCGCGGCTGGCAAAACACCATTACGGGAGAGGGTTAAGCCATTTTGGCGGAGTGCCTGTATCGTTCATTTCTTATGCAAAAAAAAAAAATAATACACCGATTGAACCATTTCTCTGCTCCTGGAGGGTCGTACCACTACCTAAATGTATTTCCTCTATAAAAAATTGCCGATTTTTCGTGCAACGAACACATGGCATCTGAGGCGGAATTTACTTTGTTTCTATCGTTTTTTAAGGCTCAGACTGCCCCTTCTAACACCGTTATGGAGCACCGTTATGGATGCATAATGTAGGTACATGCTATTGAACGCCTTACCTATTAAATAATTTAGCAGTGAGTGAGCCACCCTGTATACTGTATAGTGTATATCAAACTCGATACATAGCCAGCTAGTGATCAGGCACTAGGCACTTAGGCAGTGTGGGGTTTGCATGCGTGTCTGTTGTTGGCTTCCAGGGAACTCAGGCCATTGGCTTTCCCGACCTTTTCTGACGGAATGTTTTGATTCTTCTAGCCATAGTGTCGAAAGCCTCCTCTACTATCTCAACCGAAACAAAAAATGAAAATCCTGTGATCATTCCCAGCAGGCCTCCCAGGTTCGCCAGAAACGTGCTGAGCGTGAAGGCCATCTGCTCCTCAACTTCCTCTGTGTCGAGAGAAAACAGAAGCAGCAACTTGATTTGACATCTGGCAGCTTGCACTTTGCTATCCTTCAAGTGATAGACTCTCTCTGCGTCATATTCCTGCGTCGTATAGGCAACTTGATTGCAGGCAGGCAGGCAGTTACAGCCATCCAGTTTATCCAGAAATTTGCGCCGCACGGTCTTCCCCGCCGTCCGCAGCTCGTCTCGGCTCGGCCCGGGTGCGGCGCGGCGGAACCTTGGCGAGCGCCGGGGGCGTGCTCGGCGGGGGAGAGCGCCGGCAGGGGAGCGCCGGGGGCGTGGTCGGACAGGGACAGCGCCGGTAGGGGATCGGCGGCCGCCGCGGTCTGCGCCCACCCTGCCGACGGCCTCCTCAGTCGCCTGACGCCCGTCATCAGCTGAGCCGCCCAGCGCCAGCGAGTGCTTGGAATGATCAGCGCTCTCGGTCGGAAAGTACGATGAGTTGTTTGGGGAGCTGGCTGCTTTGGAGGATGATGTCGTTAAATACGTTGATGAAATGCCCCGTCTTTTCTGATTTATCATGATGATACCAAAGTCACCAGTATTATCAGCGTCAATTTGTCTTTCATAGTTGAGGACTTTTAAAGCTTGGCTTGTTTTAGAAGAGGTCTGCTGAGTATGGTTCATCGAATGAGGTCTGCTGAAAGAAAAGCTCTCTGTCAAGCATTTGTCCGGGAATTGGTCGAGTATGTGATGGCTTGCGCGGTGCCTTTGGCTTCCCTTTCTGTGAATCGGCTGCCGGCACGGTGGCAGGTGGTCGAGCGGGCCTCGGGTGTCCGGCAGGAACACGCCAGCCGAGACCATGTGCGGCAGCCGGCAGCCGATGTGGCCGGCTAGCCGGCGCCACTGGCACTCCTTCAGACACTGGGTGAGCGAGTAGCCCGGCTCGGAGCGGCACGGCCGGCGGCGCACGTCTGCCAGCCGGCGCATGTGCGCGGCCACCCGGTGGCTGGCGCCGCCCTGCCGGAGCAGCAGCACGGCGGTGCGCGGCACGGCCGGCCCCAGCTCGGGCGGCAGCAGGTCGGCCACGTTGGCCTCCTCGGCGCCGTGCACGTACAGCCGGTACGCGATGCCGCGGCGGTCAGTGAACAGCGGCGCCACGCCCAGAAACAGCAGCAGCTCCAACTCGTTCACGCTGCGCCGCTGCAGGTACTCGCTGGGCTCGAACGTGTAACACCGTGCCGGCCACGCACCCCCATCCTGGTGGACAAAGTAGAACCGCTGGCGCCAGAGGCCCAGCTGGCCGCGGCCGCCGACCCGCTCGGTGATGGGCCGCCGTCCGAGGATCGTCAGCCGGTTGTGCTCGGAGCTGGTGAGCTGCAGCGTGGTCCGGTTGTAGAACTCGGCCACGGTCAGCGTGCCGTTTTCGAGCCGCAGCCGCAGCGCCCGCAGCGCGGCCAGGTCCTTGAGGTGCATGCCGGGGCAGAGCGTGAGTCGCGGGAAGGGCGCCAGGCGCCGCCGCGAGCTGGAGCTGACCGGCTGCGCGCGGTACTGCGCCCACTGCTGCCACACCAGGGCGGCGAGCACGAGCAGCAGGCCGAGCCGCGCCGCGGCGCCCAGCAGCCGGCGGCAGGCGCCGCGCTGCATCGCAACTCCTCCGGGCGCAGGCGGCGCGGTCCGAGCGGCCGCCGCAATGGTCGGCCAGCCGTCGGCAGACCGGGGCTGCGCCGGCCTTATATCTGCACCCCAGTAGCCGATAACCGGCTGCGGGCCCATTATGTGTGGTAAATGAGAGCCGCTCGGCGCTGGACGGTCCACCTGACCTGACAGAGGTCCAATGTGTTGGGCATTGGCCGCGGACCGATGGGTCACCCGAACGAATTACCGTCCTCCTGTGACACGGACGTGCACGGGACATTCGATTCAATGGACTTAATCGACTCCAGTGTGTGCTCCCCAGCTGGGAGGCTAGCGAACAAAAGATAACCGGAATGGTTTGCAAGCGTATTAGGGAGCAGGTCAAAGCTGTAGTGTTGAACTGCGTGCATAGCGCGTCATATTAGGTTGGTTCAATGTCCTCAGGTATTCCCTTTCGTACGGTACATCGTTTCCTTGATGCATGACATGTCAAGCCAAGCTTGAATAGTTAGTGCTCATACGCCCCTTGATTGCCCCATTACCGAAGTTCTGTTGACCTGTGGTCCTGTGGGCTGTGGCTGCCATGCGAATGCCTTTGTGTACTCAAAGGGAAAAGCTATCGTTCTATCTGTCATGGACAGTATTCCTAGTCCATTTTCAATTATGTTTGCCAAGTGCCTTTAATTTCAGCTTTTGACATCCTTGTCATACCTATATGATGAAGTGAAAACCTGAACTGAGGTAAAATACCCTCGTCGGGCCAGGGGCTCGGCTCTTTCATAACGCGGACGGTTCTGCGACACCTAAGCGAACGTCATTTGGGCGAACGACATTTGAGTAGATATGAGCGAGAGTAAGGCATATTCCAATATTTTTCATATGACATACGTTTTAGCTATCATATCGACTTTGCTCTATAAAAAAATTAATAACAATTAACAGTGGTGTAACTGGAACTTGAACTATCTTCTAAAAATGAAATCACTTAAGGAAATGTGCCACTTTCCTCGAATTGCTTTTTTTTTGCTACAGTTTTATGATTTTTACACCTAAAATGATCAGAAAAGAAATTAATTGATGTTTACAAAAGGAGTTTTTAATATCTTTTCATACAGGAACAGCTATATTCCATCTTTAGTTGGTAGAGACTAAAGAGTCTGCAGCGGAAGCATATAGGACATTCACCAATAATATTGCGTAGCTCAAACCAACTGCATGCTGATTGGGTGAGCTTGGCCTCTGCGACAGGTGGCTGCATTTTTGGCGTTCTTCGAGCTCGCTATAAAGAGCTCCTGATTTGCGCTAGTCTCAGCTCCACATACAAACTGCTAATCCAGGTCAAAACCCCATGTTAAAAGTGATAGGTATTCCCTTTAAATGCACACTCTGGTCAGTTACTTTTGTAACAGTTGTCTTGGAAATATAGTGCGACAGAAATTAAAACGTTGGTGTAAAACGATCTCCGGCCTAGCAGGTCTTGGATAAATGACAGAACCGTTTCAGAGAAGAAACAGTGCTAAAACATTTAAGTCTCCTGGCCCCAATGGTAAGCGGCTAAAACTCTCGACGACCATGGATCGGCACGCTGCCGGCTCACTCAGCCTGCTGGCTACGGGCACCTTGACCGCTCAATCCCGTGGAGGGGACGGGACACAGCACTGCACATTGCATGTGACCCCTGACCTTTCTCTGTCCTCTGGCCATATTCCGTGTCTACTGTCGCCGGCCCAGGCAGTAGAAAGCGGTTCTAGCCTCTACACACGCTGCAACCCTTACCTCTCCAGCTACTACGTGACCTAAGGCACACTTGTGCGTAAGGGTGGAGCAAAATTTCACCGATACAGGGGCGAAACTGTTTGCCCTCGCTCCCATTTTTTTTCATTTTCATTTTTCATTTTATTCAGTATACCATCAACGGGCAACCGAGGCCCAATTACAGACGAAGTCAGTTAAGTAAAATCAAGTCCGGTTTCGAAGTAAATTAATTATTTCGTTAATTATTAATTAAAATTAATCAAGCAGCCCCACCGAGCGACCTACCACTAAAACCTGCGAGACCTGTACCTACAGCCAGAGCTGTCTGGGGACTCGTCAGTGCGTCCCAGAACTGTCTGGGGACTCGTCAGCGCGTCCCAGAGCCGTCTCCCAGGAAACGGGGCCGATCGGGGCCCGTGGAGCGCAGTCGGAGCTGCCCAGCCGAGCTGACCGGCCTGCGCTCCCTCGGGGACACCCGGCGCTGATGGTCTATGACAGCACTGGCACACTATGAAAGGGATGCTCTCAAATTGCCGGCCCGCTCACGCGATCCAATCTCAGCGCTCCTCACATAATACGCCTAATAAAAACGCAACAATGCCCTTTAAGGAAGGTTAATCTGGCCTGAAAGAGTCTAATTTGCTTGATAAACACACGCCTGCGGTGTGGGGTATTGTGGGCCGGGCGGCGCCGACAGCTGCCCGCTTTTAGACGGCGATGTTTATTGATAAACTGACGGGGCGGCCTGCGGTGGGCGATTGTGGCGGGCGCGCGCGGCGGAAACGCGCCCGGCCTGCGCCGCTCTTTGCGTGTCCTCACCTCGCCTCAGACTCGGTGGTCGCTCAGCAGGGGTGCGCCCCGGCCCGCCATAGAGCGCCAATCAAGTGGCAAACGAACTGGACCTGTCCGAACAGACCGAACAGGAGGAATGCTGCCAGAGATGCTCCGCATTCCGCTTCCGCCGGCCGAACAGAGTTGCCTGCAGTGCAATGGTGTAGTCAGGGGAAGGGCTTTGATGTGATGCCTGCGGTGCACTGGCGGAGTCAGGGGGAGGGATTTGATGTGATACCTGCAGTGCGCTGGCGGAGTCAGGGGGAGGGATTTGATGTGATGCCTGCGGTGTCCTGGCGGAGTCAGGGGAAGGGATTTGATGTGATGCCTGCGGTGCCCTGGCGGAGTCAGGGGAGGGATTTGATGTGAATGTCTCCGCGCCCCGCGGCGCCCTTATTCGATGGAAATTTGCGAATTTCTGTGAAGGAAAAGAATACTACACAACTTTCATAGGAAATGTGTGCTTTTATTTATGTTAAGAACATACGCGAATTTGACCTCTTAATTAATTTGGAACATTTTTTGTCGCATTTCTACGGAAATTCTACATGGATTGCGGTATTCCTACGGTGGAATCCGCTCAATAAATCCTCAGATAATATCTAATTCCGGCCGCTTATTGTGACCAATTGAGCTGTCCACGGATTTTCTCCATAGGCGCCCATTGTTGATCAATCCGCTTAATAAATCCAGCTTCTCCGCTTAATAAAGCCACCGGATGGGAGTTTTTCAGTTCGTAGCCACGTCTTTCCCCCTCGAAATGTGACGTCCAACCCGCTCCCGCCTCCCAGTGAACCACATTGGCGCAGAAGTCTGCAGGACGGAGTTCAGGGCTAGAAAGAGCGCCATCACCATGCACCTCAGAGAAATGTTCCTGGCAAAACAGGCCAATGCTAAACTGTTTCGTTGGCATTGCAGGCAAGGCATGACAAGAGAGTGATCGCGAATGGATTTATTGACTTCGCTATCGCTGACTGTGACAGCTTTGCAGTGTGCCTTGGTCACTCATCGGAATAAATCAGGCAATGAGGAGTGTTAGCCTATCCGTTTGTATTGGAGGGGAACGGAATGTACAGTTGACTACAAAATGACGTTCCACCTCTAACAACATACTAGTGGAATGGAACGTCTGACTGTACCGCCTATCACACAATTGTATCTTCTATGGCGAGGGTTGAGTCACAGCATTGAACTGTGTCACTCAGTCTGCGTGATAAGGCACAGTCTATCATCCTAGGCAGCTGATTGTTAAATGTGAAACATCATTATGTAGTCAACTGACAACTGTAGAGCCGCGATACACGCTAGTTTCAATGAAAATGACTACTCCTGTTAAATAAAGCCACCGCTTAGTAAATCCAAAACGTCGTGTTAGCAAGATGGATTTATTAAGCGGATTCTACTGTACTAATGATAAATCAGACATTGTGACACTTTGTCGCTGTAATGTAGCGCTGCCTAATATCTAAGCACGATGGTGGTCTCCCGCTGCTGGGGTCTGTGTGCTCTGTACAGTCGCGGCGATGTGTGCACTGGTCGCTCACGAACGGGCCCGACTGCGGACAGACGCGTCTGGAAGGCGGCGCCAGCTGGTCTTCCCCAAGGGCCTGGATCTGGACCGTCCGAAGCGCAGTCGGACCAGCTTCAGCGGCGAGCAGCTGCGCCAACTGGAGCGCTCCTACCGCGCCAGTCCCTACCTGGTGGGCGGCGAGCGGCGCCGGCTCGCCGACTCTCTCGGCCTCTCCGAAACCCAGGTGAGCCCGCCCGCCGGGGACCTCTCCGAAACCCAGGTGAGCCCGCCCGCCGGGGACCTCTCCGAAACCCAGGTGAGCCCGCCCGCCGGGGACCTCTCCGAGACCCAGGTGAGCCTGCCCGCCGGGGACATCTCCGAAACCCAGGTCAGCCCGCCCGCCGGGGACCTCTCCGAAACCCAGGTCAGCCCGCCCGCCGGGGACCTCTCCGAAACCCAGGTCAGCCCGCCCGCCGGGGACCTCTCCGAAACCCAGGTCAGCCCGCCCGCCGGGGACCTCTCCGAAACTCGGGTGAGCCCGCCCGCCGGGGACCTCTCCGAAACCCAGGTGAGCCCGCCCGCCGGGGACCTCTCCGAGACCCAGGTGAGCCTGCCCGCCGGGGACATCTCCGAAACCCAGGTGAGCCCGCCCGCCGGGGACCTCTCCGAAACCCAGGTGAGCCCGCCGGGGACCTCTCCGAAACCCAGGTGAGCCCGCCCGCCGGGGACCTCTCCGAAACCCAGGTGAGCCCGCCTGCCGGGTACCTCTCCGAAACCCAGGTGAGCCCGCCCGCCGGGGACCTCTCTGGACCCGGGGAGGCGGGGACCTTCCCTGGACTCGGGGACCTTCCCTGGATATGGGGACCTCCCCTGGATCTGGGGAGTTGCACTCATAGACCCAGGAGCCTCTCCTAGATGCAGCAGACTCCCCAGTCCCCAAAACCCAGGGACTTCAACGAAGACCCGGCGACCATGTTCGTCACGTGGTACTGATGTTCTCAATGCATCCCCATTACAGATAAAAGTGTGGTATCAAAATCGCCGCACCAAAAACAAAAAACAAAAGGAGAGTGAGCCGCTGGGCGCGGACAGGCTGGCTGCCGCCCCGAGCACCTGGTGTCTGCCGGCCGGCCCGCCGCGCCGGCCGGTGCTGCCACCGGTATCGGCTGCCTCCACTGTGGGTGTCAGAGCCTATCACGAGGTGGCGGCGGTGGCGACTCCCCGTCCGCTGCGCCCGGAGGTCTGGCAGGCCGCCGCCGGCCCGACTCCGTGCTATCGGCCGCCGCTGTGGCCTTTTCACCTGCATCAGACGGATCGGCTGCCCTTCCTGCCGCACGTACAGTACAAGTGGGCATGAACTCATGGCGGGCCTGTCTTACTCGATTTGTCGCCGATCAGAGTTGATGCTTCCCGTCGGTTCCGGACAATTCATATTTGCCATATGACTATAGACTAGACTTCGTTCATATGTGCTTCGTGAGGCTTGTGTTAATGTGGATCGTCATCAGCTAGTCCGAAGCTGATGCCATTGCAGACGACTGCTAAGGTGTATGTAAATTGCATTGCCCGTCTTCGCTGTCGTAAAAATCCCTTGCCGGTGAAATATCAACATGCTTTCAGATTTATTGGTGATGCTATTTTTTCTAGCAAGTGTTTGGTCTGATTGTCCGTATGCCTTTGATAATAGATGTTGTTGAATATAACCATAAGAACTGTTTTTGAGAAAATGTGAATATCATCAACACCTCTCAATTAATTCTTCATACATTCATTAGGTCCTATCATTCGTGATTTATAGGAGGCATGCCAAATCACCTATATTCTGTATTTGCCATTATAGTCTACAGCCTTAAAGCCTATTGATGCCATTATATCATAGCATATAGGTAAGCGTAATGTCCAATGAGGGATTGGCATTGGGCAAAGTTCTACCTACATAACATGCATATAGCTCGGCAGTTACTGGCCGCTGAGGTATTTCGCCACCCAAAACATGCCGGGGGGGGGGGAGGCATTAACCCTCGCGGGACCTGTTGGTTTTCTACATACGCCCCAGGCCGAGGGGGAGGTTGGTACGAACCTCCCCCGCCGTTTTGCCCCTAATGGAGCTAGAGCCCCGCGGAAAAAAGCGAGCGTGTGCGCCGTTACGAGACGCCGCAACATTTCCGTGACCCCGCTCAGTGACGCGGCCCAGCGCATCCTGTTTTCGCTGTCACAATGGCGAGCTGTAATTTTGTCAACAGACCGTCATTTCAAGTGTTCAATTCATATCGAGCGGATGATAGGACGACCGCTAATTTACCCGTAATGACACGGTATTTGTGTCGCCATTATATGTGTCCTCGGCGGTGGGCGACCTTTCAGCTCGGCTGGCTGGTGCGGCCGCACTAATCGTGTGGTGTCGCGCTCCGGCCGCCCTGCCTCCCCTCCCCTCCCCACCGGCCCCGCGGCCGGGCCGCGCACCCGCAGGTCACACAGAGCCGGCAGCTGACCCATTCCATCCGCCAGAGAGCATATTACGGACAGCGTCTTTGGCGTTTGACAGAGATTGATAATGATTTGATGGCGTGTCTCCACCTGTTTGTATTAGACGCTGTTTGGGACGGCGCGGTGGGGACGGACATTTGGTGCGTTTGGTAATGAATGGAAATTTCGTCAAATCGAATACAGTAAGGAACGTGATACCATATATTACGACTTTTGTTTTGTAATTCATCTTCACCTCACCTGACCATAAATGACATTTGGAGAATACAGGATGAGTTTTTTTTATCGCGTTCGGGAAGAGAACTTTTTTACAAGCAGAGCTATGCACTTATCTCATGTAAGGGAGAATGGTGTAAAACGCCCAGGTTAGCTAAAACGGATTCCATGACAAAATATTAAAACACAAAATGTCGAATCGCAAAATATCGAAAGCAAATTATCGAAAGCAAAACATCGACGTCGCAAGATATCGAAACCGCAAAATATCGAAATCGTAAAATATCGAGTTGCACAATATCGAAATCGCACATATTGAAATAGCAAAGTATCGAAATAAAAAATATCGACCTTCATAATATCGAACTTGCAAAATATCGAAAGACGAATTATCGAAAAGACAAAATATCGAAAGCGAAATATCGGAAAGACAAAATATCGAGTGCAGAGTATTGAAAAGACAAATTATCGAGAGAACAATATCAAAAGGCAAAATATCGGGTGCATAATATCGAAAAGACAAACTATTGAAAGGACAACATCGTAAAGACAAAGGAACGGCTGGAACATTGTGGGTGTATGAGTGCAGAAATCTAGCCATAGCTGGTGGAGCGGGGGAGGGGGGGGGGTGGCACCGGGTGTGTACATAGTGTTCTCAGTAGTCAGTACCGCCACCGATATTAGGAAACCGTTTCTAGTGGGGGCTCAAAACGATCTTTCGAGGGTTGTACCATGTCGAAAGAATACCGAAAATTGCATTTTGAAGCATTGATAATGTCAATAGTTCACGAAATAAAAGCGGCCGACTGGGCCGGCCTGTTTGGAAGATATCGGGCAACAACTTCCTAGAGTGGGTCGTCGGTATGTGCTTTGTCACGTGTTCCGTTTTTTTTTTCATCTAAGCAAAAATACATGCTTCATCAACGCCCTGCCTCATCAGACCATCCATCAGAGTACCATATGCTTCGAATGATGGACAGAGGGCAAAATATCATGAATTTGTGTGATGCTGTATGGGAACTGGAAAGATGCGTTGATGGAAAAAGGGATTTTTGTCCCAGTTTATTGTGGGTGCATATTACATTGCCTGCATCCACTAGATGATTATTGTGGGTGCAGATGCACCTACTGCACTCATGGTTTCTACGCTTATGACTCCATCTGACCCTATTCTCCATAGGCCACGATCCTGACATTTATACGTTTGTGCTTACCTAACTAATAGAATAGTACTGCTGGAAACGAAATATTAAATGCATCACCGGAGGTCATTGAAGCCAAAATTTCGCCGATTTTCAGGTCGAATGTGGACAATTTCCCAGAAGCCAACGCATAACTCGGGAACCAATATAGAGCTACAACGCAGCGGAAAAGCGCATTCGATAGCCCTATTCTTTCTGAATATTTCTCTCAGATTTGACCTAGCGTCAGTGGTTTTGCCTGAAGGGGGTAAAAAGTGCCAAAATAGCCGATATTTTGGAAACAATTTTTTTCTGCAATAGCTTTTGACTGAAGCCTTGCGCACGAGCTTGCTTTTACCGGCATCGTGTTCCGCTCGTCAAGACGCGTTGAACGAACTAGGTATAATTTGACCTTGAAAGGTCAACTTGAAAATTTGACCTCAGGTCAAGGTCATGACCTAACCCGAAAGGGTCATGTTGCATCGCTAAGTCTATCTAACCGTAATCCATTTTGTTTTTATACTAAACAGACACGTTTGACACGTCAGAACGCTGCACAGGCTCATTCCACATGCTATCAGTTTTTAAACATGTTTCAAAAGTTAAAAGAATAAAACACGACCATACATAAATTGACGTCTTTGTTTGTGGCAACTTAGCGGCCCCCGGCTAAGAGTCGTTGGGCGAGGGCAGACAGATGCCGGAGAGAGCGAGGGAGAGGGAAGGAGAGTGGGGGAGAGATAAGCGGAGTGGGCGGGCTGGGGCGGGAGGCACGAGGGGAGCGCGGGATATAGGAGGACAGTCAGAGACGAGCTTGCGGAGAGGACGGACCATCGGTCATGGTCTCAACAATTTTTTTTGCTTCTTCTTTGGTTTCCTTATTCCTGTCGTGACCCCACTGTGGCGGGTGTTTCCAGGAGCAGGAACTGCCACCATTGGGCGATCGACCTTTTACTCAGCCAACGAAGCGTTAAGATCACGGAGGCGTCAGGCATGAGCCCAACGACAGTTTTTTCGGTAAAGTAAAAAGAATAAAACGCGAGGATACATAAATTGACATCTTGGTTTGCGACAGTTTTTGCGGTAAAGTACTGAAAATCAACTACACCTATACGAGGCACCAGGGACCGCGGATTCAAATTTTCGTAGGGTGTGCAAGATGTGGCGATTGGGCCCCCCACCCATGCCGGGGCCCCTTCCAAAAAGACAACGCCTTGGCTGCTGTGGTAGGTTTCTAAGGGTCACCGTATCGATTTGGGTCCTCGTGCATCGATTTGGGTCCGAGCTAGTGAGGGTCATCAGAAGCTTCCTTTAGTCCTGCGACTTTAGAGGGTAGTGTGGGATCCTAAAAAGTGAGGGCATTAGAGGAAAAGCTGCGCAATGCTTATTGCTTGTGACTGCGTCCAATACAAGATAAGCCAAAGTGAAACGCCTCCGCCCGCCGCCCGCCCCGCCGTTCACCGCCCGGCGCCCGCCGCCCCACCGCCCGCCGCCCACCGCCCGCCGCCGCCCCACTGCGACAGCGCTGGCGACAGGATCGCATGCGGCGGCGGTGCGGTGCGCCCACCTGTCTGGAGACGGAGGAAGTTTTGATTTCCGCGCTGGGTGGTCCGCGCAGGACAGTCTGCACCCGACTATGAAAGATGCATTTTTACGCGTTCAGACAGCAGTTTCCACTTACAGTGTGCACGTGAAGCGGAGGTGATGCGGCGCCGACGCCCGCCGGCCCGGAGCGCCGTGGCTGGGTGGCGCCACGCTCGGTGACTGGCGCGCACGGAGCGACATCAGCGCCAGCGGGGCGCGCCTCCAGCTCCGACTGGTGACGCACTGGCTCTCACCCCCTGTGTGACATCTCGGCCGATCACCCTCTGCAGGTCTACGCATTAGGTGGTCGGCGATTTTTGTTGCCGAATAAGACCAGAGTTCGTGTGATTGCGGTGCGCCGACAGGCCGACAGCGATTAAGACGGCTGACTGGCTCCGTACCCCGGACGCCGGCTGAGTGACACTAATGGCCGCTAATGTCGTGGGACTCGACTGAGAAGGTGGACTGACGGCAGTCGTCACATTCGATTGATTAGGAAGTTTCGTGTCTGAATTCAGTGAACACAGCCATGATTTCATTCAACGTCAGAATCTTTTTCAATGCCCGATTTCCGACAATTTGGACATTGTATTCCATTCGATACGAGCGGTTTGACGTGCTGTTGACGTTTCCCTCATACCACAAAGATAACGACGGTCAGTCGGAACTGATTTCTCCAGACTCCAAGGACGAGCACCAAAGGCCGGCTGCCCGCTCTGTCTTCCTGTGTACATAGTGGAAGTAGTCTGTCTGGTGCCTTATGTTACTGTGACTTACACGAGCCAATGTGACAAGGGCACGTTTATTGGGACTGAGGATTGTTTTTCAATTAGACTGTCAAATCTCCAAAGGAAGGGAAGCTTCAGAGTCGGAGTCGGAGTCAGTCAGAGCTTGGGTCGGAGATGGAGTCATGCACAAGCAGGTGAACCAGGCTCCGACCGAGTCGAGCTCGACGTCAGCAGTACGAGTCGTAGTCAGAGTCGGAGTCGAAGTAGGTCAAGCTGCAGCAACTTCACCTCCGGATTTTGAACGAAAAAGCGAATTTGGGTGCGCTTTTTATAAAGGTATTTTTTTTCTTAATCAGGCTTCACCTTTGGTAACTTCTTATCTAATTCGGTTTGGAGCCTCATAGCGACAAGTGGTGAACGCCTGAGTGGTATCCGTGAAATCTTATCACAGATTTTGGATCCGAGCAGACCGCCTAAGTATGTTCCTGTTGCTCCTCAAACCACTCCTAACCT